TGGACAGACACCATTTCTTCTGGGGAGCACCGTGGCTTGCCCATTCCCGTCTGTGCTTTTTTTTGTTGTTGTTGCCACAAGGTCCATCTCTTCTTGCTCTCTGAGCTCTCACACAGCTCAGCAGAGTGACTTTTTGCCCTTGTCCCACAGGCATCCATCATGACGGGGAGCGTGCACAACCTGGGCCTGGAGGGCAGCAAGCTGCTCATGGACTCTGTCAGCCAGTCAGGACTGAGCCCACTGAGGAAAGCAAACTCCGGCTGTGACGAAGGACAGAACGAGGGCAGCAGCTCCCCTGCCAAGAAGAACGAGAGGAATCTGGACATGAAGAAGATTGAAAAGGAGATGCAGGAAATCATGGCCCCTACCCCCCTCGAGTTTCACAAGGTCTGTGTTGCGGAGGGTTGATATGGCTGTGGCACAGCGGCACCTCGGTGGGAAAAGGTGTTGGGTTTTTTGCAATCCTGTGGAATACCCTCTTCATTCAGAGGGACCATTGGTTCCTTGCCAAAGTATTACTTGGCCCCAACCAAGATCTGCAGGAAAGGTTTCCAGAGGGTCAGGTTAACATGGAGAGACCTCTCTTTAGAGCACAGAAGAGGTATTCCTCACTGCCATGCTTAAAATAGTTCAAACCTGTATTTTACTCAATTGACTTTTTTAGATGAGATTTCCAGGGCCTGTGTTGTGTAGTTCATTAATTGGTACTGCAGAAACAGGTGAGAGAGCTGAGCGTATGTCTTCATGGAGACCCATGGACCCTTTTCCGGTAGCGTGCACCATTTAGTGGACCACTTATCCTGAGAAAAAAGTTGTGTTCCCTCCCCTTCCGCTTCATCCCCAGATGACTTTAGCGATGTGGTACTTTTTTGAATTCAGAGCCCAGTTTGCTATAGCCAGTTTAAGAGTGATGCAGGGCAATGGTAATTAGAAGGTGTAATTAACTGTAGAAGCTGCTGATGCTGAATGCAAGTAGGGAAGGGAGCTGGACAGGTTTCAGAGAATTCGATTGCCTTTTTCTTTCCTAGTGTGACTTTAGAACGAAACCTGCAGTTACGGTAGCTGGGAAAACAACTTTTTCATCTTTTATCTGCTCTTGTCCTTCAGGACATGGCAAATGGGTCTTTAAATAAAACTTCATACCTGAAGGAGGAGAACTGTGTCATTAGGCATGTTATAGGGTGACTGCTCTTTCTGATGGCGCATCTGGCACTGGATGTGTTTGGAGATGAGACTCAGGCCAGGCAGGCTGCTCTGTTGCTGCTGTGTGTCACCCTGGGCACTGCCCTACTGAAGGACTGCACATCTGTGAGACTTTCTCAGCCAAGAGCACAGTGCAGTGGTGAAATTGAAGCCTCAACAGTAGAGATGCACTCCCAGTCCTTGGAAGGCAAAGGGGGGAATATGGTGGTGACTGGGAATCAGTTGCCCTTGCCTCCCCATGGCAAGATATACTTCCAGCAGTGCATCTTTCCTTGAGGTGAGGCCAAAGATGTGTTGTCTGTGTCTGCTAGGCTTTCAAGGGAAGAGGGGTAAGGTTACCGAGTTTTTGTCCTCCGTTAATCGACACATTGATAAGAAGTTTCAGAAGAGAGCTATTGAATAAAATAGAGAAATTTAGATGTTCTGACTGAGTGGCATGTTGTCTCCACATTCAACACACTACACTGAAAATTTCCCATGAACATGTTGATTTTTCATGTGCCAATCTGGTATGCGCATGGGATACACAGTGGAAGTTGTACGTGGGAAGATGATGATGCTCATTTAGTAACGCTTGCATTGTTTGACCAGGACTGCCCGCTCCTTGGGTGAAATATAACAGCCCGGTCTGTATTGCATTATTTGCATTTCCTCCCTCAACCAAGGGAAAAGGACCTGTTGTGTGGTAGGTTATTGCCGAAGAACTTGTCCGTGTGGTCTACCTCAGCTGTTGGCAACTGGTAAATAAGGCTGAATCTATATTAGCTGCCCAGGCTGAGCCAGGTTTCCTCAGGAGACTCAAGAGCGGGACTGCTGTAGTACCACACACATCACCTGTGGTCACCAACCCTGTACATCTCCTCCTGCCTCTCCTGCATTAAAACTTGTATTCTCTGATTCTGTCCCTCTAGATGACGCTGCACAAAGACCCGGAGAGTGAAGACTTTGGATTCAGTGTGTCAGACGGCCTGTTAGAAAAAGGTGTCTATGTAAATATGGTCCGTCCGGATGGGCCAGCAGATCAGTGTGGCCTCAAGCCATATGACAGAGTCCTTCAGGTAAAAAATGCAAAATGCAGTTCTGGAGGCTGGGACGGAGTGAATGAGTGGCTGAGAGGAAGAGAGAAGTGAGAACCATCCATGGCAACACTAACTTTAATGAAAGGTAATAGTTAGCCAACTAGGTGAGCACCTAACCACCAAGCTGTCAATGAGACCTGTGTTTTATGATAAGAAATCACTAGATAGCAAAGGTGGTTTGAACTGTAGACTACACCTATTCCAGGGAACGTTTCCATGCAGAGCCTGTCCCAGTCCTGCTCTTTTTGAGCTGTGGCACCTCGAAAAATAGACAAACAAAAAGCCTTGTTGCTTTCCCCCTCGCCCCAAGTCCATTTTCTTGTCATTTAAGACGGTAATTTTTTGGATGAACCAGACTGTGTTGACCAATATTTGTTCTTGTGTAGCCCCTGTGGAGTTAAGTGGTGTTCATGAAGTTCTGTGCATGCCTTTGACAACTCAGAGTTTTCTAGGAAACATCCTTCAAGCAAAGTGTTTTTCGTGGATATTTTTCTTCGAAAGATACTTGATCTGAAAATGACTGATGCAGAAACTGAATAAAAATTCTGGTCAAAAGCACAGTCTGTAGTAAATATAACTCGGGCATATCTAACTACCAGATGGAGAGTAAGAGCAGGGTGAGTTTTGGAGATTGGAGAGGAACTTTATACGGATGAAAAACGAGTATTTGATCTTTGTGGCAACTCAAGCAGCAACTGAGAAAGTGCAATCCAATGGAAAATTGCCACCATTTGGAAATGCAGATATTGTGACCATATTTGGAAACACTCAGAAAGATGTTTAGTTTTACTAATTTCTAGGCGGGGGTTGTTAGCACTAGGATTAGAGCCAATATATTATGTACATCAGGTAACTGGAGAACTGGCAGCACTGTGGGAAACCTTGTCTAAGCTTGTTATGGTCTCCAGCCAGTTGGCTGCTATACAATTATTCCTTCTCGGCTTCAAATAAAAGATGGTGCAAGAATGAACAAGAAGCTAATTAGGCTCTGGGCTGCCTTTCTGTTGAATGTTGGATGTGTCGCTCTTTGTGAGTGCCAAGTGCTCTGGGAGGTGTGCCCGAAATCCTAAATGGAGTGGAGCGGAGACTTTTGAGAGCCCCCTCTTCCACGTGCTGCACTGCACGACTTACACCTACAAGAAGACACGGCCATTGCCATCACTTTGACGTGCGCAGCTATGCTGAATGAGGACTTTGCAGACCTGGCGCAGGCATCTCCAAGCAAGAAGCACAGCTATGCATTGCTGAGGACGCTTCGCTGTGCTGCTGATTATGGGCGCACCGATCTGCCCGCAAGCAAGCTCCAGCACTGAAGGCTGGCGAAACCCCACGTCCCTGCTAACAGGCCCTGTGCCCGTCCGCTAGATGGATTAGCCAGAGCACGACATTGCGCTAACGTGACTTCTGCACTGGAACTGCCTGCCTGGTTGTAGAGCAAGCTTGTGTCTTGTCTCTCCTTGGTGGTGTGTGATCTGAAAGTTGTCATTAGTCACTTCTCTGTAAGGAGCCGGTACTGGGACCAGGGCAGCTGAACTGTGTGGGTGCTGACTGGGGCAGGGGCACACTGCCACTGTCACAGAGCCCAGCTAAGGCACTAAGCCTGGGGAAGGGTTTTGGGTGTGCGGGTTGCATGGACTCATCCAGCCCTTATCCAGTGAAGGAAGCAAAGCCTGGCCCCAGGGATTATGTTTGCCCCAAAGATGGGTGGGAAATTCCTTTCTCTCTTCCCAGCTTCCCCTCCCCCATGCAGTTTGCCAGTCCCCTCCGTCCTGGGGCAGAGCCGGAGCGGTTCTCGCAGGTGACCTAGCCTTGAAATGTGCATGAAGTTCTGCGAGGGACAGCGGGAAAAGCTCTTTCACTGCTGGAACCTGCAGAGAGGGTTGGCACTCTGAAATGTTCGTGTGGACGCGCATCCAGACTCCTCTGAAGCAAAGGCTGTAAATGGGGAGAGAACCTGTTCAATGTAATCTTGATTTACTGCCTGTAGCCTGCATAGATGCACGCCTCTTAAAGGCTGATGCTGGCCAAGCTGGCAAACAGTGGGCTAAAGACCGAGGGTCTGAACTGTGTGTGTTTGCTAGGTGCTGAGTACCCCGTATTACAGATGTAAGGCCAACAAAAACCACAAGGGCAAAAAAAACCATGGAAAATGGCAACCTTTCTCTTGTAGGCTTGAACTGGTTTTGAGCCCTGCAGAGCTTAATAGCTTTAATGCTGCCCTAGACACCCAGAGTCAAGATTTATGCCTGATCCAGACCTTTTTTCCCCTTCCCCTCCCAGTTGTTGTGGTGTTTCTTGCTAAGAAAAGGACATGCCCAGGTTGGAGGGGTCCCCACTCTCTGATCTCTTGCAAGCCTGAATCAGGGCACCCCCGCAGTGTAGTGTGTTTTCACAGATGTGGGTTTAGTGCTCGCCTTAGGTTTTCTGACTAACAAACATGGTGTTTCTGTTGTTCCTCCCCATGGCACCTCCTAAATCCGTCCCGGCAGGTAAATCACGTCCGCACAAGAGACTTTGACTGCTGCCTGGCCGTTCCGCTGATTTCTGAGGCTGGAGATAAGCTGGACCTGGTGATTAGCCGCAACCCCTTGGCACTGGCTGCCAGTGCTCCCCGGGAGGGGACCGGAGAGCTGCTGGTGCAGCCAGCCACCGGCACCGAGCCCAAACCCAGCGTGCAGACCCTCTGAGGAGTGAGCAGCCCTTTGGAGGAGGGAGCGAGCGGATGGTGCCCTGGGCCCCTGCCGTGGCTTCTGCCTAGCCGTTGTGGTATTTGGGGTGTTTTTTCCTGTTTTGCGCTGGTATTTGTACGTGCTGTGTGTACCCTAACCTGCAGGGGGGAGGTGTGTCTGCACTGAGCTTGTAGACCACCAAACGTTGCTTTGAAGGTCTGAACGGAGCTGGATGAGCATCCTGGGCTGTGGTGAACGCTGATGGTGGAACGAGCCACCGACAGCGGGTGAGAGCCCCCGCAGCCACCCCCAGCACCGGGCGTCCTCCAGTCCGGGCCTTGGCTTCCAGGGGGTGTGAGGTCAGGAGGCAGCTCCTGGCCTTGGACACCATCCCTGCCCTTACGTCTGGGCCATCCTGTAAACACACATGGTGCTATTCTTTTTCTTGTTTACTTGGTTTATCACATACAGCAAGATTGAAACGACTTTCTTTTCCTGTTGCACCCAGCTCTGCCCCAGAGCATCCCTTAAAACACTCCTGATAAATTGATTTCCGCAGCCCCTTTCGCTCCTGGTGCAGGGCTGTGGAGAGCCCTATTGAAAAGGCACTTCACAACTTGCTTGATAGTGCCTAGATGCAGTTCTTTGTCAAAAATGGATGTTTGCAGCTGCCTCCTGCCAGCCCCCACCCCGCCGCAGCTGACTCGCGCCACCAAGCACCCACCACCCGTCGGCGGGAAGAGGCGCCTTGTCTGGCCATCGATTCCAGTGAGCAACGCAGTTTATCTGTGCTGACATGTTTCTTACGGAGCAGAAAACCATACGCAGGAGTAAAGGCCCTGAAGGTGGCCCAAATCCCTGGCCACCTTGCTCGTTTGGGCCTTATTGCCTGCAGATCTGGACTGCGTCGACAAGTAAATAGCGGAATAGCGTCCTTAACCCGCCTACGGAGGGGCTTTCCCCGATGTTTTGGATCAATAAAACTGTGTTGTCTCCTGCCAGGCAGCAGCACAAGCAGCCCTTGGTTAGCTGGAGGTTGTCTCTTCTGTGCGCCCTGGACGGGGTCACCCGAGCGGCAGCGCCAGCGCGAGTTCCCGCGCAGCCAGTGGGATTTGGTGCTCGCCCGCAGCCTGCCCTCCTTGGCCCGTTGTCGGCCCCTCTGTGGCTATCAGCATGACGCCTTCCCGAGTCCCTGCCCTCGCCTCCGAGCTCCCGTCCTTGTGTTGACGATACGGGCGTGAGATTTGCATCGGTTTCGTGACCTGCCTGCAGCGACCTGATCAAAACGCAACCGTGGCTGCTCTCTCTTCCTCCTCGTCTCCCTCTGTAGGCAAAGTCTCCCTTCCCCGTGAGGTCCTCCTCCCCATGGCCGGCACGGCCACCCGCTCCATGTTTTACGTATTAGCACTTTATTCTGATTTTAATGCCCTAGCAGACCTTGCATGGGCCTGACCCAGGCATCTCAGCAAGGCTTGGGCACAGGAGACTCCGAGAGCTCTGGTGGCCCCTCAGCCCCCCAGGAGCTGGCGGCCACCTCCGTTGTTCCTCGCCGATCCTTTCGGTTTATCCATCGTCTCCGTGCTCGTGGTGCGTTTAGGCTGTAGCGGTGTACGCGACGCGCTGTGCCGCGGCTGAGCCAGGACTAACTTCCCCAGCCGTCCTCGAGCTGGTTTCCAACTCTGCCCCTCCTCAGTAGCTCCAAGTGTCGGGGTGTTTCTTCGCAACGCGCGTCCAGCCCCCCATCCAGCTATTTGTCGTCGTAGCCATTTTCTCTTCGAGTATGCAATATCCCATACCATTGCTGCCACTACTAGATAACGTGCCATAATTGATACTGTGGAGCATTGACAGTGCGGCCGAAAGTGTTTTTATATGCAATATTCTGAGCAGCGGAAGCTCACGGGGGCTTCTCATAGGTTTTTAATGAAGACTTTTATTAAAGGCTTTAAAAAAAAAAAAGGAAGAAAAACTTGGTCCTTGTATCCCTTCCTATGCATTTTGAATGATATTAAGATGAAATGCATTACTTAAATGTGTATTTTTATCCATATATTAGAGTGTATTCCTTGTAAAGTATTTTTATATGCTAATTTTCTTATGTATCTATGAAAGCACAATATTTAAAAGTACAGCATTTCAAAGAATATTTTAGTCCTGTTTTGGACCTATTTGTAAATCTCTGTATTTAAATGGGATTGCAATGACTTTGCCTTTTTTTTTTTTTTAATTAAATAAAAGCAAATGAAATGCCTTTCTCTCTGTTCCCACGTCCCTTTCTGCTAGAGGACGAAAAGTGAGGCAACGCTCTGCTTCCAGCCCTATTTTAACGTGCTTTGAGGTCAAATTTGCCCTAGAGGGATGCTGGTTATGAAGGACCTCGAGGGACCCGAGGCAGCGGGCGCGCGGGCAGCTTTGCTGGGGAGGGGGGACGGCGCCGCCGTCTGCAACCCTTCGTCCGCCGG